GCGTCCTTGCCGGTGTCTCTCTTGATCCTCAAGCAACCTAGTGAGCAACGAGCCCACCAGGCCAGGAAACAGGGCTCAGGGACTTGCGGCCAGAGCATGCTGCTGACTGGTTGGCATTACCCATTACCCAAGATAGGGGTGTCAGCTCGTGGCCTCCCTCGTCTCTGAACAGTTTTATGACATACAGAACATAATTCTGTTGCATTCTGGTATCAATCTATCTATTGAGGCCAAAGGCTAATATCAAACAGCAGAACATTCTTTCTACTTGATTGCCAGGATTTCAGCTGGATTTTCTTTTTTTTTAACCAAGTAGCAGCAATATACCATAAATATCCAGTTGAAGATATCTTTTCTTTTGGGGAACATACTTAAATATTTGTGGGGACCAGGAAAAAGTGTCAGTAGCAGTGGGGACATTGAAGTCGCCAGAGAGAAAAGAGATACCACAATGAGATTGGGAGGGGATGGGGACGCCTGGGTGGCTCAGCAGTTGAGTGTCCGCCTTCAGCCCAGGGCATGATCCTGGAGTTCCGGGATTGAGTACCGCGTCGGGCTCTCTGCATGGAGCCTGCTTCTCCCTCTGCCTGTGTCTCTGCCTCTCTCCTTCTGTGTGTCTCATGAATAAGTAAATAAAATCTTAAAAAAAAAAAAAAAAAGATTGGGAGGGAATGAACGTGAGAGCAAAGGGAAAAATCAACCTCATAAAGTTTAGTTTCAGAGGTGGAAGGGAAAATAAGAAGCAGACCTACTTAGAACTGGATTAATCCAGTTTCTGTTGCTGGGAAATGAGTAGAGATGGGCAAAGTGAAATGAAATGTGTTCACATCAGCAGCCTGGTCTATATTTACTTTCCTGTAACCAGAGAGGCAGCATGTCCTAGGGATGTGGACTCTGAAACCCAGCCTGCTGTTTTGAATCACATTTCTGGACATGACATGCTTTTTCGTGGAAGGTCATATTTAGATCCCTGCAGCAGAGTCGCAGCAACTGCTCAGTCTCAGTGGCTTCTTTCAGAGGCTCAGAACATGTGGGGCAGATCATTCCAGGTCCTGACTGTCCTTGGATCCCTAATACTATTTTTATGAACATGACAACAGCCTTGATAATGGGGTGTAAACTGGACTAATTTTGGTTATTTGTCTTATTCCTGATTGCATCAAAATAGGATGTGAGCCAGCTAATAATGAGAGTACAACTGGACGGTTAAAATCAAGTGAAAAGGGGAAAAAGTCGCAAATGTGGCAAAAATCTAAAAACTGTTTAACTTCCTCAGCATCCAGGGATGGAGACTTAAGGAGGTTCGCTGCTCTGCCAGGAGTCGTCTCCTCCCTCTCCCTCTGCCCCTACCACTACTGAGCTCGACATGTCTTTCTCTCCTCTCTGTCACAAAAACTTTTTAAAAAAGTGAATAAAAAAAAGTGAATAAAAGTAAAAACTGTTTAAGCTCCACCGTAATTACAGGAATGTAAATCTAATTTGAAAATGAGGTACCATTTATTAAATAATCAAAAGTGAAGTCAAATTATCAAATTTATGAGAGGTAGACTTCAGGAAAATAGCAATACAGAAAGTGCCAGTAAATATTTAAGTTGGTTCAGTTCTTTGAGTAATTGCTAACATTTACTGATCATTTGCTCCGTATCAGGCACTGTTTCGATGAGTATTCATCTAATCTTCACTTAACTCTCCGAGGTAGATTATGTCCCTATTGGCATCTCGATTTTCCATATAAGGAAACTTTGTCCCAATAAACAAACGGAAGAGTTCAGCAAATTGTCCAAGGTCTTGAAACAAGGAAGTGACCAAGCTGTGATTCAAACCAGGCAGATGGATTTCAAAGGCCCTGTTCTTAGCTAATACTCTCTACCAGCAGGACTCCTTTACATTCTTTCAGATTAGTGAGCCTTTCATGATAAAAACACTCAACAAACCCAAAGCTCATATACTCAACAATAAGAGAGGAAAAACTTTACCCCTAAAATCAGGAACAAGGTAAGGATGCCTACTTTCACCACTTGTTAGTCAACAACACTGTATAGGAAGTCCTAGCCAGAGCAATTATGGAAGAAAAAGAAGCAAAGGCATCCAAATTAGAAAAGAGGAAGGAAAAAAAAAAAGGAATAAAAGCAAAAGAGGAAGTAAATTATATATTTTTTTAAGATTTATTTATTTATTTTAGAGAGAAACAGAGTGTGTGCAAGGGGGTGGGGGGCAGAGGGAGAGAGATTCTCAGGCAGACTCCATGCTGAGCACGGAGCCTGACGCAGGGCTCCATCTCACAACCTTGAGATCATGACCCTGAGCCAAAACCAAGAGTCAGATGCTAAACTGACTGTGCAGCCCAGGCGCCCCAGTGAAATTATCTTTATTAACAGATAGCATCATATATAGAATATCCCAAAGAAGACACACACAAAAACCTATTAGAGCTAATTAATGGATTTAGCAAAATCATCATATAGAAGATCAACACGTAGAAATCAGTTGTATTTCTATGTATTGGCGATGAACAATCTGAAAATAAAATTTTTCAAAAAAATAATTCCAGTAATAACAGCACCAGAAAGAATAAAATACTTGGGAATAAATTCAGCCAAGTTGGTGTAATACTTATGCACCGAACACCACAAAATGTTGCTGAAAGAAAATTAAGATCTAAAAATATGGAAAAGACATTCTGGGTTCATGGATTACAAGACTTAATACCGTTAAAATGGTAAAGCTGCCCATCGTAATCTACAGATTCATTGCAAGCTCTGGGAAAATCCTAATGCTCTTTTCTGCAGAAATTGACCAGGTGATTGTAAAATTGATACAGAATTGCAAGGGGCTCTGAATAGCCAAAATAATCTTGAAAAAGAAAAACAAAGCTGGAGGACTCCTATTTCCCAATTTCAAAGCTATCGGAATCAAGACAGTGTGGTACCGGAATAAGGACAGATATATATATATATATATATATAGATCATTGGAATAGTACTGAGAGAGTCCAGAAAGAAGTCCAAAGATCTCTGGTCAATTGACTTTCAACAAAGTGCCAAGACCATTCAGTAGAGAAAAGAAGTTTCTTTTACAAATGGTGCTGGTAGAACTGGGTATCCACATGCAAAAGGGTGAAGTTAGACCCCTACCTCACACAATATACAAAAAGTAACTCAAAATGGCTAATAGATCTAAATATGAAAGCTAAAACTAAAAACTCTCAGAAGAAAACATAGGGGCAAATCTTCATAAGTTTGGATTTGGCAAGATATTCCTAGAAATGATACCCAAAACACAAGTGACAAAAAAGAAACCAAACCAATGGACTTAATCAAAATTAAAACTTCTGTACATCAAAAAACACTACTAGGGACACCTGGGTGGCTCAACTGTTGAGCGTCTGCTTTTGGCTCAGGGTGTGATCCCGGGATCTGAGATCAAGTCCCACATTGGGCTCCCTGCATGGAGCCTGCTTCTCCTGCTTGTGTCTCTGCCTCTCTCTTTCTGTGTCTTTCATGAATAAATAAATAAATAAAATCTTAAAAAAAAAAAAAGACTATCAAGAAAGATGACAACCTACAAAATTGGAGAAAATACTTGTAAATCATCTATCTATCTGATAAAGGTCTGGTATCTGTAATATAGAAAATTATTAAAACTCTGTAACAAAAAGGCAATCCAACTCTGAAATGAAAGGCAACCCAATTTAAAAATGAGCAGAGAATTTGAATAGACATTTCTGGAAAGAAGACATACAAATGGCCAGTAAACACATAAAAAGATGTTCATCACTAATCAGTAGGGAAATGCAAATCAAAACCACAAATGAGATGCCACTTCACACCCAGTAGAATGACTATAATAAAAAAAAATGGGAGACAACCAGTGTGGAAGACAAGGAGAAATTGGAACCATCCTATATTACAGGTAAGAATGTTAGATGATGCAGCTGCTCTGAAAAACAGTTTGTCAGTTCCCTCCAAAATTAAACCTAAAGGGGCACCTGGGTGGCTTGATTTAAGCTCAAGTCAAGATCTCAGGGTCCTGAGATGGAGCCCCGCATCCAGCTCCACCCTGGGTGTGAAGCTTGCTTAAGATTTTCTCACTCTCCCTCCCTTCTGCACCCCACCTCCAGCTCATATATGCAGTCTCTCTCTAAACAAACAAACAAAAAAATTAAATGTAGAATTATCATATGATCCACTAATTCTAGGTTTCATAGTCCAAAGAACTCAAAACACACATTCCAACAAATCCTTGCATACAAATGTTCATAGCATTACTATTCACAGGGATGGAAAAAACCCCAATCCATCTACTGATGAATGGATAAACAAAATGTGGTATACTGGTCGTACAACAGAATATAAAAAGGAATGAAGTACTGATACATGCTACCTTGTGGGTAAACCCCAAAAACATTGTGCTAAGTGAAAGAAGGCAGATGCATTTTTTTTTTTAAGAATTTATTTATTCATGAGAGACACAGAGAAAGAGGCAGAGACACAGGCAGAGGGAGAAGCAGGCTCCTTCCGGGAGCCTGATGTGAGACTCCATCCCAGGACCCCGGGATCATGACCTGAGCCGAAGACAGTCGCTCAACTGCTGAACCACCCAGGCGTCCTCCTTAACCTTAATTTTTAAAATGTGTTCATTTAAGGAAGTATTGAGGATGCGCATCAGCTCTTATTTACACGGATTATATCTATCAATTTTTGTTGTGTTAGGAATCAAAACTGGGAAATGTAAAATATCTTTAGGTATTCGTTTTAAAATAAGAATGAAAACAGAAACAAAACAAAGCAAAAAACAAAAACGAATATGTAGAAATAAATATGGAAAATTTTAAAATAACAGCAAAATGATTTTATGGAAAATAACTACATTTTCCACGACAGAGATTAGTGAAAAGAGTAATATTGCTTTACATTTTTAAAAACCTCTTGAATGCCTGGCTTAATGGAAGACAGCAGGATTCTCTCTTCTGTTTTCAACCTATTAAAATACCCCACTGTGGTCGATGATGAGCTGGCATGTATTCTGAATCTGAAGTTGATGATTACTCCTTCAGCTCTAGAATTACTCTGAGACCTGAGAAATACCCGAATCTTTACAGGAGCTTCAGGGCTTAGGTTCCTTCGAGGCAGATAAGGTGGCGGCTTTTAAACAGAAAGTTGGCCTGTGGCAAGATGGGATCCGAGTGAAAAAAGTTCAGATGTATATTGGGTATGTGCACCGGGGTCAAACATTAAAAGAGGAAAAGTTAAAAAAATAAAATAAAATAAAATATCCCACTGTCAGGCAACTTTATATATTTTTTTCTTTTTAAGAATATTTTATTTACTTATTCATGAGAGACACACAGAGAGAGGCAGAAGGAGAAGCAGGCTCCAAGCAGGGAGTCTGATCCTGGGATGGCAGGATTATGACCTGAGCCAAAGGCAGAAGCTCAACTGCTGAGCCACCTAGGCATCCCAGACATTATCCTAACTTCTGTTCTACTGTCGTGCCAGCCTGGCAAACCTGAGTCTAGATCGACCCAAGGATACCTCTTTTTCAAGCCTTCCTCGGGTTAGCTGCACTCTTTCCCTTGCAGACATCACATCTAATGATGACCCATCTCTCCTATACCTCTCCTTTGTCAGGCAACTTTAGAAGAACCTCAGCGTGTGCTCCTGAGGCAATAAATGTGAAGAAGGTAAATTATGTCTTTGCCTTACTGTGAAAGTAGTTTTGACCTCACAGAACCCCTGGAAGGGTCCCCCAAGAACCCCAGGGGCCCCAATCATATTTTAAAACCTGCCGCTGAATGCTGTATAGGAAGGGACAACTTCACAGGCATGGGACCAGCACAATCACACAGGGACCCTATGCTTGGAGAGCCCTAAATTTGGGGTTTTATGTTCTACAATCCTCATCTTTAAATTCCTAAGAATTTTTTTTTAATATTTTATTTATTTATTCATGAGAGACACACACAGAGAGAGGCAGAGACACAGGCAGAGGGAGAACCAGGCTCCATGCAGGGAGCCCAACTTGGGACTCAATCCCAGGTCTCTAGGATCATGCCCTGGGCTGAAGGCAGCACTAAACCCCTGAGCCACCCAGGCTGCCCAAATTCCTAAGAATTTTATCTTTGATTTATGTTTTGTAGGTGAAGACCAATGGGACAATGGGGGATTGCACTGAGATTCAGAGCCTTGGCTCATGCACTGCCCCACCTCCTGCTGCCTCCCTGCTTCCCAGGGACCAACTCAAGCCACCTGTTCCTCACCCCCTGATGCCCCAGGCTTTACCTGGCCTCCCCTCCCTGCTTCTGCCCAGCAACCACTGTCACCCTCATCCATGGTGGGGGCCTTGGCTTAGAATGGAAAGGATCCCAGTCAGGCACATACACCCTATGGTGACTCAGGGGAAGGCCTGGTGGCAGCTGACCCCACCCAAGAGTGGAAATGCTGTGGTGCATTAAGCAGACAATTAACAGGGCAAATCCCTCACCCATCCCCAGACGTATTACCTACCAAGTCCTGGCATGAAGGCTGCAGTGCCTTTGAGTGCCCATCTCTGTGGCTTGGGGAGCAGATCTATGGGAGGGGAACATCCCTGGCATCACTCAGGGGCCTGGCTGGAAGGAAGATGCCATCAGCTGGTATGGTCCTTATATATTGCCAGGGGATGGGCCCTGGGGGCACCGGGAGGTGGGCTGACCTGTTCGTATCCCTGTGTCTAGAGGATAGGCAAATTAAATAGCAAATAGAAAACAGCAGGACAGGTGGAGAGGGGATAAAAGGGAAAGACAAGAAAAATTTTTAAAGTTTTTAATATTAGTAACTTAATGGTTTTTGGACCAGGGCCTGCATTTTCATTTTTTAGGGGGCTATAAATCATGCAGCTGGTCCTGTATAGAGTCTCTGAGGAAATAATTAAGAAGATTAAGAAGACACTTGCGTGTTCCTGCCCATGTCCTAATAAACCTACAAAAGTAAATCATCCTAAGCAAATTCATTGAGAGGGAGAAAAAAACTACAAATAAAGATATGTAGATATGTTTCTTATTATAATAAAAATACCATCTAAATGATTAGTAATAGACAAATCACTGAGAAAAGTTAGTTTTCCTTTACCTTCCAAAATCTGCTCTTCTCCTGAGTTTCTTTCTTTCATCTCTGTCCCATCTGAGGGGAACTAGAAATAGTAACCAACCCAGAATAAATGAGCTTCCTTAGAGGACAGATTCTGGTTTCTAAATATATTTCTCCTAAAGGGAACTGAGGTTCCTTAGAGAAAAGGCTGATTCCAGTTCTGGGACAGCAGATGTACATCTTGACATACTACAAAGCAAGGAAGCTCTCAAAGACTACTGCCCTTGTGTCCTACGATTCAGAAACCCAGTGTTTTGAGCGATGACTGACAATGAAAATGCCTAGACACCAAAACCAAAAACAAGTCCATGGAGATAGGTGGAAAGGTGACCATGGAGCAGTGTTCGTTGTCTGCATACCTTCTGTACTTGAAACTTGATGGCAAGGACTGTGATTCATCTTCTAAAATTTATTTATTTATTTTAGAGAGAGAGAGAGTAGGGAGGAGGAGCAGAGGGAGAGTCTTTTTTTTTTTTTTCAGAGGGAGAGTCTTAAGCAGACTCTGAACTAAGCATGGAGCCCGATGTGGGGCTCTCTCTCACAACCTTGAGAGCATCACCTGAGCTAAAACCAAGAGTTGAACACTTAATCGAATGTGTCACCCAGGCGCCCCAAGACTACTATTCATCTTCTAGATCAAAACCTTGTGGAACACTTGGGTGGCTCAGCGGTTGGGCGTCTGCCTTTGGCTCAGCATTATCCCGGGATCCAGGATTGAGTCCCACATTGGTTTCCTTGCAGGGAGCCTGCTTCTCCTTCTGCCTGTGTCTCTGCCTCTCTCTGTGTGTCTCTCGTGAATAAATAAATAAAATCTTTAAAAACAAACAAACAAACAAACAAACAAACCTTGCACATGATTATTGATGGCTGGATGATGAATTGACAAAGTAAGAGACACAATTAAATTGTTATACTCATGAATAAAGGGATGATGGTGGGGAGTTGCAATGTCAGGAGGTTTCTTCTCAAATTCTATTCAAATACTTAGAAAAATTCCTAAAACTAACTCTTTTCAGCAGCAATGAAAGCTTACAAGTTGGAAAAAGTAAAGAAAAATAAATAAAAGAGAGGAAGAGAGCTGCAAATTTATTCATACTATCGTCAGAAGTGCTGAAGAAATACAGCTCCTTTATTTATTTTTAAGTGATTTGGTCTTTCCAGATCCTACTGATCAGATTACAAGGAAACAAATGTGTTCTAGTCTCTTCCAGGACAATTAGTCCAAGCCCACAGGTCAGTGAAAACCAAGACGAGGTGGAGCCAGCTGGAGAGCAACCCTCAGGCTCTAACCAGGAGAAGTAAGGCTGGACTCTAGGTTACAACAAGCACAGGGTTCAGCTATGGGCACCAGAAGCCAGGGCCCAGGCTCCACTGAATCACTACCACATTGTCCACCTGGCCCCTGACCAGGAGATCTAGGCAGTGGGGTCATCTTACCCTCATCCCTTTAGATCCATGGCAGGGCTGCTGGCTCTCAATCTTGCATTCTTGGGGGCTAAAAGAAGCTCGGGAGTGAACACCGCATCTTCTCCCTAGCCACACTAATTTTAAATCATTCACCTTGATAAAGAGGCCAAACATTCACCCTGTCCTGCTCTGGGAAGATAAGCTTCCTGTTTTAGAGAGAGAAGGCTTGTAGCCATTATGTAAGAGGGAAATAAAACACCACCATTTATTGTGTGCAAAACCTCGTCACCAATACTCAGGCAAACAAAAACTAATCTAAGAAAAATGACAGTGAAAAGCAGGAAGAGCCTGAGGAAAATTTCTTGACAAAACCATCCTGAAGAAATGCAAGAATTTGGAGAATAAATATCCAATATTTTTTGGAAAATTCTAATGGAGTCCAGTCGTCACTGGAACCTGCACAAATCCTAAATGTATAGGTCAGTGAATTTTCTTTTTTTTTTAAAGATTTTATTTATTTTATTCATGACAGACAGAGAGAGAGAGAGAGAGAGAGAGAGAGAGAGGCAAAGACACAGGCAGAGGGAAAAGCAGGCTCCATGCAGGAAGCCGGACGTGGGACTTGATCCCAGGTCTCCAGGATCACACCCTGGGCCAAAGGCGGCACTAAAACACTGACCCCCCCCACCCCCGGCTGCTCCAGTGAATTTTCAAAATGGGTTCTATACCCCTTTAGTTACACCTAGACCTAGAAACAGAATAACAACAGCCCCTAGAAGCCCACCCCATATCATTTCCATTGCTTGGCTTCTCACACCAAAGATTCATTTCTTGGTTCTGATCTTTACATATGAAGGATTATACATCACATACTCTTCGGGGTCTGGCTCTTTTTATTCATATTATGTTTGTGAAATGCATCTATTCTGTAACATGTATTGATTTATTTTGTGTATATTTTCATTGTATTAATATGCCATAATTCATATTTCTGTTCTACTGAAGATGAACACTAGCCTCTAGCTTTTATTACAAATAATACTCCTCTGAATATTTTTGGGCATGTCTTTTGGTAAACGTGTACATATCTCCATTGGAATTATCCCTAGGAGTCAAATCTCTAGGTCATAGATTATAGGTGTGTTCATCTTTGAGAAATAATATCAAACTTTTTTCCAAAATGATTGCATCAATTTACATTCCCATCAGGACAGTATGAGCATTCTAATTGTTCTACGTCCTTGCCAACACTTGTTATCAGCCATTTAATTTTTTGCCACTGTGGTCCCGGTGTAGTTTTAGTTTACATTTGTAGTTTTAATTTACATTTCTCTAGTTATGGTGATGTTGAAAAACTTTGCATGCGTTTTTGACATTTTGCATTACCTTATTAATGAAGTGCCTATTCAAATATGTTGCCCATTTTGTATTCATTTGGCTTCCTTTCTCTAATCAATTTACACATTGGGGTTGGTAATCCTTTGTCAGATATACATAGTGTAAATATATTTTCCTAATCTATGGCTTACTTTTTTATTCTCTTTA